CTCAGCTGCTTCATGTGACTTTGTTCTGCGTTCAGAGCGCTTCTTACTTATAAAACTTTGTGGATGTTGTAAAGGTTATTTTTCTGTTGAGTGAAGGAAACATTAACACACGATCTGACCTTTCAGCTGCAAACCTGAGTGAGGCAACTCTGACATTTAGATAACATTAGCTCACATCGGTGTGGGCCAACTTATTACACGCACAGAAAACACTCAAAACTTTTTTTCTTTAAATATCTCAGAGGAAGGAAGGAAGGAAGGAAGGAAGGAAGGAAGGGAGATTAGAAGTGATCAAACATCAGAAGAGCTCAGAAAGTTTTAGAAAACTGAAAAAGCGCATCACCATCAGATAAGGACGTTTGTCAGTAATCTCCTCAGCTGATGGGATATTTGTCACGAGTGTGAACAGCAGATGTAAACGCCACGCTGTGGTGATGCGTTGCTCCCAGCTGCTGTAAGAAAGAGCGAAGTGTGAGGGCAGAAGCTGCGCTCTCCTGCAGCATGCATGGATGAAACAAACACACGGAGAGCAGGATGTTCAAAAGAGCTCAAAGGTGCAAATGAATCAGATGAAATCAACAGTTTTGCTCTAAACGAGCGGCTGCAGAAAGATTTTCAGCAGCCAACTGTAACCTCTGTTGTGGTTTCCACATTAATATAAGTGTGCCAGCTGTTGCTCGCTTATACCTGCACAGGCTGGCGGCATGTGCTGTTTTATTAATGTCGTTTCATCCAGCAGGTTTCTGTTTGGTTTACTGATTCAAGAATGTGGAAACATGTCACGTAATGTCAACAGTATGAGAAAACGAGCCCAAAAACAAACACAAACAAGCTCATAAACACGCACAAACACACGTCAGGATGTAACGGCGCACGAACGCAGGAGCCCGAGCGTGAGGACAGATTCTGCTGCAGGACGCGCAGCTTACAGAAATATAACAGTCAGAGCTGCAAGGAAAAACACTTCTGTGACATGATTGAGGCTGACTTCATGTTTTACTCAGAAATCCTTCAGTTGTGTTTTGTGTCAGTTTGATCTTTTATTTCTGACCACAGAGTCAAAAACAGGGTTTGTACTGACGCTGCAGAGGAAGAGCCGCTGGTTTGTGGTCGAGCTGCACTGAAGATTCAGATGAAGTGATGTGGTCATGTTTTCATGCTAAACCAAAGCGTTCTTTATCTTAACCTACATGCGTTTCTGTGTGTGTGTGTGTGTGTGTGTGTGTGTGTGTGTGTGTGTGTGTGTGTGTGTGTGGGTGCGTTCACATGCATGCTGAGAAGTGGAAAAAACAGCGACCAAAGAAATGACAGCAACAAACCATCCACACCGCCAAAGGTATCAAAAAAACCACAGAGGGTTAACGTGTGGATTCATTTCTTCTCACATCCCCAAACTCGTGAGGATGTGCCGACAAATCTATCCATACTGGTTACATACTGGTTACATACTGGTTACATACTGGTCCTGGTCAGTTATCAGAGCCCAGATTAGCAGAATATCTGGTTTTGTTGTGCTTGTAGTTTTTTCTGGTTTACTCTGTGCTGGGTCGCCGGTTTCCCCTCCTTCCTTCAGCTTGCTGTTAGTTTGTTTCTGGTTTTCACTTTGATCTGTTGCAGCTGACGCATTTAAGTTTGATTTAACGAGTTTAAAGTGCTAAAAATAAAGCTGTGGCCAGCAAGTAGCAACAACTACCCACAGTCTGTAATATTTTTATATTCTACATAGATCTGCTCTGTGAAAGTCTCTCACTGGAGTAGGTGTCACACAATTGGTGGGTTTGGTGCAGGAAAAGAGTGAAAGTCTGACTCGGAGAGCCTGGATAAACAGAGGCCGCTGATAACCACCGTCAGCATAGCTGCTGTCTCTGCCTTTGGTCGACTGGGCTAACACAGAGGCAGCCTGGCTGCGTCTGTCCTGCTCTGCAAGCTGGTACCTAATGTCCTTTAATGCACATATTAAACACATATGTAAGACTGCGTTCTTCCATTTGTGCAACATCTCTAAAGTTAGAAATATCCTGTCTCAGAGTGACGCTGAAAAACTAGTTCATGCATTTATTACTTCCAGGCTGGACGACTGTAATTCATTATTATCAGGAAGTCCAAAAAACTCCCTGAAAAGCCTTCAGCTGATCCAAAATGCTGCTTTGGATTCAGGAGACAGAGACTATCTCTACTCTTAAGATTAAGTTTTTAACTTCCCCCTTTGGTAAATCTTATCCTTAGACCTGGATTAGGTGACCTTAGGTGGCCTCAGTGTGGTCTTCTGCTGCTGAAGCCCACCTGCCTCATGGTTTAACATGCTGTGTGCTTTGGTCCAGCAGTCAGTCCACAGTGGATAAAGAAACAGCCTGATACAGAAACCTTTTTCACCTGGGTGGGTGAGGTGAATTTCTATTTGTAATAACAGCATTGATGTAGTCCTGTCACAGGAGGCCCGGAGTGATGTGCTTGGCCTCGTCTGCACCAATCAAAGTCTCTGACACTGAAACCTTCACTGTTTGTGCCCGACAAACACTGTGTGGTTCAGACCATCCAGGAAATGGATGCTCTTGTTTTACTGAGTATGAGTGTTTTACTATCGAGTCAGAACGAATGGGGTCTGCTGGTCTGATTCGTGAGAGCTTCAGTTTCAAAGAAGTGAGTTTGTTTCCATAACTGAGTGACAGCAAACAAACAAATGCTCAGGAATGACATCGGGGAGCTGGATGAGACTCATTTACTTAACAAATGATTCCTGTGAATGTTTACAGCCTTCACACAATGGCTGGAGTTATAAGCAAACTTCCCTTTAAGTCTCATAAACATGAAATATCAGTGAAGGTCCTGCACCACGTCCTGTGCCTGTCAAAGGTAAAAGCAGAAGCTTTGCAGCTGTTATTGCATAGTCAGCATCCTCTCAGTGTGTATGATCAGATACTACAGATGCAAACTTTGGGAACTTGTATCCCAAAAGAATGCAGAGTCCACGAAGTCCAGGACGCAGGTCCAGGAACCGGGCTTAGCTAACGTCTCTGAGCTGAGCTCTGGTGTTACAGTGGACATGACACACACATGTTTAAAGGCTAATTTGCCTCCTGCTCTAAAAAACTGTCTTATTTAAGTCCGTCTGTGAAGCTGACGTCTTCAGAGTTTGTAGCGCCATCTTGTGCCACTACAGTGCTGTCATGTGGTTGGTTGGTTGCCACTAACAGACTTACATTAGCTTATGTTAGCTAACTAGTGATAGAATCAATGATGCAGTGGAAAACAAGGAAACTAAACTAAAAGCAGTCTAAGGGTCACTGTTGCGCTGCCCGTGGCAGCAGTTGTGGGTTTGATCCTAAACTGTCCACACCCGTCAGCAGTAAGTGGTTCTCCACCCATCGCTAGCTGCACTGAAACAGGAAAATCCACCTGTTAGCTGTTTGTGTTTGTAGCGCACTTTATGGATGTGGAGGAGAGTCAAGTGCACCGCTGGTTTACCAAGCTTGAGTCCAGCACGCCTTAGGTTTGCTTGGGGTTGCAGACGAACAGTGCAGGCAGCTGGCAGAGCAGATGTTCACAAGATGTAATCGGCATTATTTTAAGCAATGTTAAAGTCTTAGCCCTGCAACTAGGGCTGGGTATCGTTACTGATTTCTAGAATCGATTCGATTCACAAGGTCCCGAATCGATTCAATCCTCGATTCGATTCTAATTGAATCGGGGAAATTTTGCCTCAGACAGTCAGAAATATTATAATTATAAAAGAGTGGATGGATGGTTAAAGTCTAATTTAACATGAAGTTATATCAGGGTAAAGTCTGGGGAATCCTGGTATCGGCGCTCCGTTGATAGTGGATTCCTTTCCCGGGTTTATTTTTGAACTCAGAGTTTGTTGAGCCTGCTTGATGTGATGTCAAAAAAACTTTATGTTTGTTCTTGTTCTCTGAAAAGACCCTCGTAAGGGTCGATAATATAACACGTTGGTGCATTTAGAGTAAATCCACACGAAGTCGACATGATCGCCCCCTGTGGCTCGCTCTGAGCTGCAGCAAACAAAGGAACAGGCCATTTATTGGTGGCTCTGGCACAGGAAGTAAACATCCTCGTTCTAAAGCTGTGGGCATTCAGTGGCTTTATGAGACAATCAGCAATGTGGAGATGGTAGGAAAAGAGGAACAGCACACTGCAGGGACACGCCACACGCTGCCTGATCAGGAGTTTAGCTGCTTCCCTGAAATGGAAACTGCTGTCTGATCGTTCTTCATATCAGCTCTTCTGATCCACAGTGGAAGTGTCCATCTCCACACAGGATTTCTTATTCACTAACAGCTTCTGTTGACTGGTGTAGGTGCACAAGAAACCAAATAGTGTTTCAGGTGGAATTAAAGCCAGCAGGTTGTGTGGTTAGTGCAGGAATGACCACTAGCAGAAATCTGAGGTTAAAAATAACTTTACTAGCACGGGAACACGCGATGCAGCCGGTGCTGTCCTGTCAAACCCGACCGTAAGTGTTTTCACAGCGCAGATGAAGGACGAGAGCGCTGCGTGTTGGACTGGGATGAATCAGGATCGGAGGGAAGTGCGTGAAGAGCAGGACAAAGGAAGCGTCCGTGAAACCTTGTTTGTGCACGTGCCCAGTGTAAACAGAGCAGCTCACTGCATGAACACAAAAGGTTTTTTCAGCCGAGCAGCACAGAAACAACGTAACACTGAACATGGGTTAAAGCACAAATGCAGATTCAGGCCTTCAGCGGTCGTTACTTTGTGCTCTGTCATAACGCCATGACGCCGCTGTGGTGGTGCATGCAGACAGTCTGCAGCTCTGTCATTGGAAACCAAACACTGACCACAGAGAGTCTGTCCACCTCCTCCAAGTGACGATTACGTTTATCACTCATTTCAAAGAGAATGGTTCTGCAGGTGGAGCCACAGAGCGTCACCTCTGTCACTGATTTCTCCCGTTTTATTAATGCCAATGAAAAATGTTTCCTGTAATCGTCCTAAAGCTTGTACTGTGTTCTTCGTGTTTGCAGGGATGGCTCACAACAACTCCACCAGCCTACTGTCCAACCAGACGGCAGACTTCAACAACGTCTTCACCCTGAAGATCCTGCCCCTGCTCTACTTTGTGATCTTTCTGGTGGGTTCGCTTCTGAATGGCGGAGCCGCCTGTATCTTCTTCAGAGTGCCCGCTGACTCTGGGCTGGTGGTCTACCTGAAGAACATGGTGGTGGCCGACCTCCTCATGCTGTGCACCTACCCGTTCAGGATCGTGGCTCAGCTGGAACTCGGCGGCTGGTACATCCACGTGATCGTCTGCCGCTACAGCGCTGTGATCTTCTACTGCTCCATGTACATGGGGATCCTCTTCATGGGCTTAATTAGCCTCGAGCGCTACGTCAAGATTGTCCGAACCTCCCCCTCCTCCATCACCACCACCTCCTGCAGGACAAGAGTAGCCAGGATCTTTTCCCTGCACCACCTGCAGAACCCCAAGTGTGCCCGGGTGTTGGCCGTCCTCTCTTGGACCCTCCTCACCGTTTTCCTCATGCCCAACAGCTTGCTGACGAGCAAGGAAGCCAACGAGGAAAACGCCCGCAAGTGCATGGATCTGAAGACGGCGCTGGGCAAAGAGTGGCACCGGGTGTCCTCGATCTTCAGCGTCTCAATGTTCTGGGTGACTCTGGCGGTCCTCGCCTTCTGCTATGCCTCCATCTCCCGCCGCATCTACCAGTCGTACCGCCGGGTTCGCTGCGATAACAGCGACGTCTGCCGCAAGTCCAACCGGAGCATCTTCAGCATCCTGGTGGTGTTCTTCATCTGCTTCGTGCCGTACCACGTCTGCCGCATCCCCTACACGCTGAGCCAGATGCCAGAGTCGAGCTTCAGCCGGTATGCCCGCTTCCTGCTGCTGCAGGTGAAAGAGGGGACGCTCTTCCTGTCAGCACTCAATGTCTGCCTCGACCCCGTCATCTACTTCCTCATGTGCCGAACCTTCAGAGAATCGCTGCTGAGAAAAGTGTCGCGGCGAGAGAGGAGGAGGAGGAGGTCCCTGACCACGGCGCAGAGTCTGAGCAACATTTAGAAGGCGAGGAGAGGAGACAAGGCAAATAAGGCAGCGGCAAGGAGAGGAGAAGACCCCTGAGGAGACGTGAGGAGACGCAAAACCTAAATGTTGAAGCTGAAATCATGTATTTTTTTTATTTGCTGTAATAAAATTGCTCTCTTCTGTTTGTTTCTCGGTCTGATAGAAAAGTGTGTAAATCAAGAGTTTTATGTGTAAAATAGAAAGAGACATGAATGTATATTTTTATCCCTTTATGTGTACATAAGAGAAGTATTCAGAGCTTCAGTTCTTGGTTTTATTTATTGTTCTGACCAAAAGCAGGACAGAGAGGACAGGGAAGGTCAGCGAGGAAGAGGAAGTGTTGACGTGGAAGTGAAACTGAACTGTGATGAGTGGGCATCAAACCTGCAGCATTAAAGTCCGTTCATGCAGAATCTGCTGATTTGCTCACGAGTCGCCTCTTTTTAGAAACTCGTGTCAAATCGCAGGACGAGCAGCAATCTGACTGTGATGTCATAGTGTTCCTGCTGTCAGAGTCATTACAACTGCTTTATGATGTCTGTATTTTAAATAAAGCTTTTCTTTCTTCTAAAATAACTATAATTTAGTCATGTTTTCAATCTCTGCTCACTGCAGCTGATGCCTCTCTGCTGCCATCAGGTGGTCATATCTGTCATTACATGTTTGTTTGCAGGTACACGAGGAGCAGCAGAGTGGGATAAAAAATATTAATAACTATTTTGCTGACATTTTAAAATCCCTCTTTTTAAAGTAAATTAAATGAGGTGATAGTACCTGTTCCTCAAAAACACAAAGTTAAAGGGGAAAAAATGGAGTGTAATGGAACCCTGTGACCAGCAGGGGGCGCTGATGACATTCCCAGTAAAGGTATTGTTAAATCACACGTGGCCAGTCTGAATCACAGCTCTGACATCAAAAACACATATTTTGGGAGTTTTTAAAGGCAGCAGTGAAGAATTGAGACTGATTGATGTTACAGCTGTTTCTGTCATCTTTTGGTGTGTGTGTGTGTGTGTGTGTGTGTGTGTGTGTGTGTGTGTGTGTGTGTGTGTGTGTGTGTGTGTGTGTGTGTGTGTGAGCACGCAGAAAAGCATTGATCATAAACAGAGACAGATGTGATAAAGCAATGACAGCAGCAGACGTGCAGGATAAACTTGGACAGTGTGCAGTGCCGGGAGTTGGAGCTTCAGGTTAAGCTCATGATGCTCGTTAGTATCATTTGAGGAATTCCTCCTTCCTGTACAGCAGCCATCAGCATATAACCTCGAGCAGCAGCATTTTCAAAATCATCACATCAGAACTGTTTGCAGTGAGCATCTCACACCAGAGAGACACAGGGAGGGGGAGGGGGAGCCGGGACCAGGCAGGGGTCATGACTTCATCTGAAAGTCAAACATCTACCTCCCTGTCTGCCGTTACCGAATCCTCCCACAGATTCCAGCTCAGTGCCGAGCTTCGTCAGAGAATCAAAGAGCGATTGTGTGCGTGCAAAATCAAAAGAGAAACCGAACGCTCCATTAGCCAGCCAGCATGACAGAGAGGAGAAGAGCCCGTGAAAGCTTTCAGCAGGGCTGCCCGACCTGCTCAGGTGAGCTGCATCCTTAATCACCGGGTCAGCTCCACCCACCGATTACTTGGAAGAGATGGGGAGATAAGGTGAACGCTGAGAGCAAGGCCAGACCTGTCGCTGTCACCGCACAGGTGAAGAGATCACAGCCAGCCGATGATGGAAAATCTACCTTTAATAATCAGAGTTATCTTAAAGCGAGCCTTTTCTCCGCTGCACCTCTACAACCGATCTTAGGCTGCCTCCACATGCACCCACCGAGTCCTGACTCAGTCTGGGAGAATCCCCATAGAAAGATTTCTTCATGATCGTTATTCCAAAAACATGTCCTGACAGTTTGCCCTCCAGAGCAGAGACAAACCAGCCTGAGGCAGTTTGAATATTTCCCTCTGTGCTGCGCAGAGATTAGGCTGATAGGGTAACAGTCAGGCTCTCCCATCTGTGAACGGAAGACGAGATCTATTTAAAACTCTTTCCTCTCTTCTTTGGAAAAGAGAAAAAATCAGCATCTTTTAATCTGAAACCAGGCATTCATTGTGGCAGCAAGGTGGAGGTGATGGTGGGAACAGATTATTATACCCAGATTATTATACCCATAAGCACTTCTCAGTAACCTGGTCTTCCCCCTCGTCTGTTTGATGGTATCAAACCTATCACTATTCAATTCAGTTTTATTTATACACCGCCAAATCACAACAACAGTTTCATTAATGCCTTTAAATTGTAAGTTAAAGACCCCATATTAGTACAAATACAGAGAACACCTCAACAATCATATGACCCCCTATGAGCAGCACTTTGGCAACAGTGGGAAGGAAAAACTCCCTTTTAACAGGAAGAAACCTCCGGCAGAACCAGGCTCAGGGAGGGGCGGGGCCATCTGCTGCGATTGGTTGGGGTCAGAGAAGGAAGACAGGATAAAGACATGCTGTGGAAGAGAGACAGAGGTTAATAATAACTAATGATAACACAATGCAGAGAGGTGTAGAAAAACGAAGTGAAGAAGAAACACTCAGTGCATCATGGGAATCTCCTATAGGACAAGCAGCCTAGATCTACTGCAGCGTAACTAAAGGGGGGATTCATAATAAATGCATGAACTAGTTTTTCAGCGTCACTCTGAGACAGGATATTTCTAACTTTAGAGATGTTGCACAAATGGAAGAACGCAGTCTGACATATTTGTTTAATATGTGCATTGAAGGACATGTCCTGGTCAAAAATGACTCCAAGGTTCCTCACAGCGTTACTGGAGGCCAAGGTAATGCCATCCAGAGTAAGAATCTGCTTAGATACCATATTTCTAAGCTTTTCAGGGCCGAGTACAATAACCTCAGTTTGATCTGAATTAAGAAGCAGAAAGTTAGCGGCCATCCAGGTCTTTATGTCTTTAAGTCATTCCTGCAGTTTAACTCATTGGTGTGTGTTATCTGGCTTCATGGACAGATAGAGCTGGGTGTCATCTGCATAGCAGTGTAAATGTATGCTATGTCTTCTAATGATGCTGCCTAAGGGAAGCATGTATAATGTAAACAGAATTGGTCCTAGCACTGAACCCTGTGGAACTCCATAATTAACCTCAGTGTGTGAAGAGGACTCTCCATTTACATGCACAAACTGGAGTCTATTAGATAGATATGATACAAACCACTGCAGTGCAGTACCTGTAATACCTACAGCATGTTCTAATCGCTCTAATAGGATATTATGGTCGACAGTATCGAACGCTGCACTGAGGTCTAGCAGGACAAGCACAGAGATGAGTCCACTGTCAGAGGCCATAAGAAGATCATTTGTAACCTTCACTAAAGCTGTTTCTGTGCTGTGATGAGCTCTGAAACCTGACTGAAACTCTTCAAATAAACCTCTGCAGATGATCTGTTAGCTGTTTGACAACTACTCTTTCAAGGATTTTGATATAAAGGAAGGTTGGAGATTGGCCTATAATTAGCTAAGACTGCTGGGTCTAGAGATGCTTTTTGAGTAAAGGTTTAAAGCTGTGACCCTAAAAGGCCTGTAGACCATAACAGCAAACATAGAGTTGTTCTTATTTACTTCAATCAGTGATGAATAGTAAGATGTTCTGGCTTTGCGGAGGGCTTTCTTATAAAGCAACAAACTATTTCTCCAGGCTAAATGATGATCCTCTAAATTTGTGACACGCCATTTCCTCTCCAGATTACGAGTCATCTGCTTTAGGCTACGTGTTTGAGAATTATACCACGGAGTCAGGTACTTCTGATTAGAGACCTTAGTTTTCAAAGGAGCTACAGTATCCAGAGTTGTACGTAGTGAGGAGGTAAATGTTATCAGGAAATGATCAGACAGGAGAGGGTTTTCAGGAAACACTGTTAAATGTTCAGTTTCTTTGCCGTATGTTAAAACAAGATCTAGATCAGGGGTCCCCAACTCCAGGCCTCGAGGTTCGGTGTCCTGCAGGTTTTAGATCTCTGGGTCAGCACACCTGAATCACATGATTAGTTCATCATCAGGCCTCTGGAGAACTTCAGGACATGTTGAGGAGGTCATTTATCCATTTAAATCAGCTGTGTTGGTTCAAGGACACGTCTAAAACCTGCAGGACACTGGCCCTCGAGGCCTGGAGTTCGACACCTGTGATCTCCAGTGTGATTTTACATTTTGAGAAAATCCAATTGAGTCTAATCACCCACAATAATTATTTTATCTGAGCTCAGAACTAAATCAGATAAAAAGTCTGAGAAATCAGACAGAAACTCTGTGTAAGGCCCAGGTGGACGATAGATGATAACAAGTAAGACTGGTTTCTGAGTTTCACAGCTGGGGTGGACGAGGCGAAGCATCAGGCTTTCAAATAAATTAAAAGTCTGTCTGGGTCTTTGGTTGGTTAATAGGCTGGTGTGGGAGATTGCTGCCGATCACTTCAGTTTGGTCCAAAATCTGTGCCAAAGTGAGGCTAAACTGGAAACAGTACAAACGAACTGGAAACAACGAAAAACAAACAAACAAAACAAAACAAAAACACACAGAGCCCTGGAGTCAGCCTGGGAATACAAACAGAGGGCCGGTGTGGCCACGGTGGGAAGTCATCGCAGATGCTCCAAAACAGGATGTGAAACCATCCCAAAGTTCCACACCAGTCTGAGGGAATCTGAAAACAGGATGAAGCAGATACGAGTCCAAAACAGCTGTGAAATCTGAACCAGTCTGTAATTAGATGCAGAGAGAAAACGCTGAGTCCAGTAAGCTGCTGCAAAAGCAGATGTAAACTCTGGACTCACACCAGCCTTCAGCACTTCCTAATAGAATTTAAAACCAGAAATCTGATCTACACTCTGTGGTTTCACCGTCCTGCACTAGTGTCTGTTTGCACAGCTCATATGTCTCACAGGGAGGAGCATTATGGGTATTCAGCCATCAAGTTCATTTCCTAATCAGATCCTCCTGGGCTGAAGGCCAGCATAGCAACACCATCAGTCTGGAATCTGCAGCAGGTTCTCCAGGAAGCTCCAAGACCTAAAACCAAACCCTAATCCTTTAAAACAGGTGAATGCATCGCATGACGCAGCGCTGTGTGTTTAAAACACAGCACGCGCTCACTCTGCTGCTAAAAACCAGAAACCTTCAACAAGCAGCGACATGTCGCGCTTCCTCTGACACATGTGCTGGACCCAGAACCGGCTTTGAATAACTGACAGGCACTCCCAGCTCACACTCAACACTCGTGTAAGCCGAATAGAAACAGAATTAAGTTTGCTGATTGAAAATAAGAAAACACGAACACTGTGAGTCACGGGACATTTACGAGTCGACTCTGATCTGTGTTAAAGCTTGCTGGTTAACCTTTAGCCGCTTTTAC